CATACTACTTTATACACTACTACTGGTATGTACCATGATTATTACACACTGCTACTATATACTATTTCGTATTACGTAGTAATGCTACTACACATTACTGCATACTATTACATATATATACACTGTATGCCACTACACACTACTACTACATACTATCACTACTATATTTTATCCTATATGTTATTATTACATGTTACTATGACATAGTACTATTATACACTACTACCATGATCTAAACTACCCATACTGCCACCAGTACTAGAGGCTACCACCAGCTACTCTGTGCCCTGGGCTCGCCGCAGGCTGCGTGGCTCCCTGTGGGGACAACCCCTCTGCCCTGTGCGGGGAGAAGCCTGCCGGGCCAGGCCCCCCTTCGCCTCCCGTGTGGTTCAGAGCTGGGTACGGGCTTCAGCGTGCAGGGCTCTCGGAGTGCTCGGTTCTTCGGAGAGTGCCGGTCTGCCCCATGTCAGCAGATCAGGCAGGCTTTCCCTGGCGCTCCTGTTAAGGGAGTTTCACACTGTCCTCGGTGGCCTGGTCTGCAGCCACAGCACGCCCAACTTTAGAAACACTTGAACCCGTTTGCCTTGGAAGCAGGAGTCCCCGAGGTGAGCTCCGGCTCAGCGGCTGCTGTCGGGAGGGGTGTGGGGAATCTCTTAGGAGACAGCGGTCTCCTTCGCCCTGGCCTCGCTGGAGCCCATCCTAATGAATGTCTCTCTCAGGTCATCAAGACTGAATTCAGTGTGGTAACGATCCTTCCCTCTGTCCTTAAAGGACCAGGAAGGGCAAGGAACAGGCTTGCCGAAGAGTCGCCCTGGCGCTCCCTGGGGTCCCGGCCCCGCCCCCCAAGCTCCGGCAGGATAGATGAGCTTCTGCACTGGGCACAGGCACCGGCACCGGGCCTGCAAGGGTGCCTTCCTGTGAGCACTAGCTTTCCAGATACTTCTGTAAACAGCTGATGTCCAAATCTAGATAGCCACGCTGATTATCGCCCCACTGCCAATGTTACTGTCAGGCTGACCCCATTAAATTAAAATGCAGGAGGGGGTGCCTGGGCGGCTCGGTTGGTTAGGTGTCCAACTTCGGTTCGGGTCATGATCTCACAGTTCATGAGTTTGAGCCCTGCGTTGGGCTCTGTGCTGACACCTCAGAGCCTGGAGCCTGCTTGGGATTCTGTGTCTCCCTGTCTCTCTGCCCCTCCCCCACTTGCACTCTGTCTCACTCTGTCTCTCAGAAATAAATACTTGTAAACAAAAAAAGTTAAAACACAGGAGAGCCAGAGAGGGGAGCGCCCCTCTATTAGTACAGGACCCCACTCTTGACTCCAGTGTGCCTCTCAGGGAAGTTGGGAACATGGGGCGGGGGGTCCATGCCTTCACTTGTCTGGTTGACCTTGGTCTTGTAAACTTTCTTTTCCTCCATCTCACCACCTCCCTCTGCAGACATTACAGCCTGGGGCTTCTGGGGGGCAGCGCGGAGGGCACACGTTGTTACTTTACGTGAAGGAGGATGAGAAGTCCCCTCCACGGAGGGAGCAGGGCAGGGAAATGCACTGCCTGATCCAAAGACCTGAAATAAACCCCCTCTTCTAAGGGCTGGGTGTGGATGTCACCATGAAACAACCCCCTATGCATCTGACACTGCTGACCACTCCTTAAAGATCTTCCTCTGGCCTCCACCAAACAGTCTTAGTGTTTATCCTTTTCAACTTCCTTCTTCTGCCTTCTTTCCTTCTGCCTAATCACAGGGCACTAGGGACCCTCTGGCCACTAGTCTTCTCATTCCACACTTGCATACAGGGTTTTGCTACCATTTGTATACTGGTGGCTCTCAGACCTGCCGCTGGATGGCTTCACTGAGCCTCAAACTGACTAGCTGATGGTCAAGACCACATCTGTCTAGACAGTCATCTAGCTGGCCATTTACTTAACGAGTGTCCACCACCCCTTGGCTGTCCTCAGACCCTCAAACTCAAGCTTTCCTCTTTGTCTGCTGATAATGTCCAGTTTTTGTCTGGGAACTAGCTGTCCCTTTCCCCATTCCTGATCCATGCAGGTCGGGAAGAGTCCCCTTTTGTGGGACCCAACTTTATCCCCTCCAACCCATCCCCCAAACCACATCTGATGATGGTGGCTTTTTTAAAAATAGTTTTTAAATTAAAAAAAAAATATTTCTGAGAGAGAGAGAGAGAGAGAGAGACAGCGTGAGCAGGGAAGGTTCAGAGAGGGAGACACAGAATCTGAAACAGGCTCCAGGCTCTGAGCTAGCTGTCAGCACAGAGCCTGACAGGGGGCTCGAACCCATGAACCATGAGATCATGACCTGAGCCGAAGTCAGACGGTTAACCGACTGAGCCACCCAGGTGCCCCTGATGATGGTGGTTTTAAGACTGGGTGGGGGGGCAACTTCTCGGACATTACTGCATTGAGAGGTGGGCTGTCCTCCATCTGAACGTAAGCATGTTTGTGTCTGCTTTGCAAACAGGGTCCACATAAGTGACATCGGGTGACATCTGAGGTCAGGGCCGAAGTCCAGGCAGCCTTTACTGGCCCTGCCATGCTCTCATTGGAGGCCAGCCGCCATATTGTGAAAAGTCCAAGTCACGTGGCCGGGCCATGTGTAGGTGCCTCGGGGAATGGTTCCAGTTGAGCCAGCTCTCAAGTTATCCCAGTCCAGGCACCAGACCTGAGAATCATTTTGGAAGCGAATCCTGAACCCCAGCTGCTCTGGCTGCCACCATCTGCATCTTCTAAGCTGAGCCTCCAGACGTTTCCTGACCCACAGAATCTGTGATCATTCCTAAATGGTTGGGTCAGGCCACGGAATTCTGGGGTAGATTGTTACGCAGTAATAGTACATGGAACCTTCTTGCCAGGCCAAACCCCTGCTTAAAATGTTCCAGAGATTCTACGTTGCCACCAGGGTAAAGCCCAAATTCCTTCGCCTTTCCTTACTAGGTTCCTGCCCACCCCCAGAGCCAATTCCTGTCCTTCCTACATGAGCCGGAGTCCCAGACACATAGCAACCCCTGGAACGTTCTCTACTTTTCTCGACTTCCATGCCTTTGTATATGCTGTCACTCTGTCCTGATGTCTTTCTCACATCCAGATATTAAGTGAACCATCTGGCAAATTGCGGGATATAAATTCTTTCTTCCCTGAAATCCTCCTCCCCCCTACCCCCATCCCCCAAGAATAATAGTGTTTGCATGGTCCTATAATAGCTCAGGTGCTCTGTGAAAGAATAATGTGTGTTATCTCCTAGGTCTCTGAGTAAAAATACAGGGGCCTCCGGGTGGGTCAGTCGGCTGAGGGTCTGAGTTTGGCTCAGGTCATGATCTCACGGTCCGTGGGTTTGAGCCTCGTGTTGGGCTCTGTGCTGACAGCTCAGAGCCTGGAGCCTGCTTCAGATTCTGTGTCTTCCTCTTTCTCTGCCCCTTCTCCACTCATACTCTGTCTCTCAAAAATAAATAAAAGTAAAAAAATAAATAAATAAAAAATACATCTCCTGGTTGCTCAGTGCCCTCAGCCCTGACATCATCACTGCCTGATTCTATCATCCTGACTCAGTTTACTTATTAGACCTATGAAGGCAGAGCCTGGGCTTCACTCCTTCCTCTCCCCCCAGAACCTGTGTCTTCTGAGACCTTCAACAGATGTGTATTGAACCCGGCTTTGATGCTGCAGTCAAACTAACTCAAGCCCAGAAAAGGCTCATATGAGTTCTTCTAAGTCATACAGGTAATTAGGGGCTGAGTAGAGGCTGAAATTCTGTCTTGTTCACTCTGACTGCCAGGCCCGAGCTTGTGTGTGTGTGTGTGTGTGTGTGTGTGTGTGTGTGTGTCTCCACGGTATCACCCCTACCCCCTGTTGAGCATCTGCTTTTAAAATTATTTTATTCAGATACCTATAAAATAGTCTCTGGTCTTTCAGCATTCTCCCTCTGACCCCTGGGCTGCTTTAGGGTCATGCAAATACTTATTCCTGGAGAAGGAGGATTTGCATTTTTCCGATTATTCAGACAGTTCGCTCAATATCCCGGTAATTCCGACGATTGACCCTCTAACGAAGGAGGCGGTTGCTTTCCTCCGTTCATTTGTGAGGGTAACATTTTTAAAAAGAAAAAACTAACTCCGTATGGGGCCTCCTGCCGCCAGCTCAGACCTGAGGCCGAACCTTCTCGCGTCTACCAACTGCCGCACTGTCAACACCAGACGGCGCTGTGTCCTCGCTGGCTTTTTAACCACCCCGTCGAGCGCACAAAAGGCCAGGTTTTCTTTCCGGACGGTTCGGGGGTCGGATCCCCACATCCCGCTTCCCCGCTTCGCGACAGCAGGTGCATGCCTTCCGCGTCCGCGTGCGAGGGCGCCTGTGTACGTGTGTGCAGGGGAGGGTCTCATGTTAATCACTCTTGAACCTGTTTGAAAAGCTGTCTCCTGCTTTCAGCTCTATTATCGACCGGAACCAAACCCAGGAAAATCGGAAGGAGTTGCTGGCCTACTAGGCACCTGGCGCTGTGCGTCCCCGGTGCCGATCTGCCCCGCGCCCTGTGCGTCCTCCAGGTTAAAGGACCCAACTCCCGGCTTTCTCGACAGGGCCCACCCAGCACACCGGCCCGCTTCGCGGCATCCCGGGGCGAGGCTCGCGCCCGGCTCGGCTGTCGGGGGCGCCCATCCCCCCGGGGACCGCCGCCTTCCCCCTCTACTTTTCTCCCTCCCAATCCGTAAGTGGCATTTTTCCGGGGGGGGGGGCGGGGAGGAGGGCGGAGAAGGGGCCCTGCGGGGAGGGGCGTCGGAGCGCTGTCGCCGCGTGTTGCGCCGCCCTCTCCGCCCCTCGCCGGGGTGTGGGCGCGGCGCAGCGCGCGGCAGAGGGCCGGCCGCGTGGGGACGCGGGCGTGCGGGCTTCTGGGCGAGCCGCGCGGCGCGGGAGCACGCTGGCCGCCTGAGCTCGGCGCGGAGCCCGGGGCCCGGAGCCGCCGCCTCCCGCCCCTGCGCGCGCCCCGCCATGGAGCCCTCGCACAAAGACGCCGAGACGGCGGCGGCGGCGGCGGCGGTGGCGGCGGCGGACCCCCGCGCCGCAGCCGCGTCCAGCGGGGTGGTGGTGCAGGTCCGCGAGAAGAAGGGCCCCCTGCGCGCCGCCATCCCCTACATGCCCTTCCCCGTGGCTGTCATCTGCCTCTTCCTCAACACCTTCGTGCCGGGACTGGGTAAGACGCGGCGGCCGCGACCCGCGGAGGGCAAGGGGTCACCCCCGGAGGGCGCCCACGCGCGCCGACCCGCGCGCTCCCGGCGCCCCCTGGCAGGTGGCCGCGGCGCGTGGGGTGGGCGCCCCGGAGGAGGCGCCGCGCGGGTTCCCACTCTCCCAGCCCCGGCCCGCCGGGAGCCTCCTCCCACCTGTAGGCTCGAGGGTCGGGCCCCAAGAGAGCCGGAACTTGGCAGGGAGCGCGGGGCCCGGCGGGCGGCGGCGCGGAAAGGACGCCCCTGACGCTCCGAAACCCTGCCCCTGCTCGCTGCTGCGCGCGCGCCCTCCCGAGAGCCCCTTCCTTCGAGGGGTGCGAGGCTCGGGTGGGGGGAGCGTGGCGGCGACAGAGGGCGGCCGAGCTGGAGAAAAGGGACACCCCGCGAGCCCACCTGCCATCGCGGGGTGCGGACCGTACGGGGGCGAGCGTCCTACGCCTCCCTCCGGGGTGCCCACGGCTCCGCCTGCGCCCATTAGCTCCCGGGGGGTGGGGTGGGGGCCGATCTCGCTAGTCCCAACGCTCCTGGCCGGAGGTAACCCCGTGGCTCCCTCCCAGCCCTTCCGTTCGTGACCGAGGGGGAGCGCGCCCGTGCAGTTCTGTGTCGGACTCTGGCTGTCCGCGGGGTCCCTGAGGTTCCCAGTGCCCCACATTTTAAAAGAAAGTCCCGTCGCAGAAGTAGGGATGCCAAAGGGTGTGTGGCGGAAGGGAGTGAGAAGTTTCCCCCGGCTTCCTTCTCCTAACCTCACCCCAACCTGCGTGCCTTCCCTCAACTCCCAGCTTGCCCAATCGGCACCCATCTACCCCCCCAATTGCGTGCGGGACTGGAGCGGCAGGCAGCTCCGCGCCCTCCCCAGGAGAAAGCCTGGTCCCGAGCGAGCCAGCCAGCCGGTTGCCAGCGTCTAAGGCTCCAAGTTCCTAAGAATAGAGGTCAGCTGGAAGTGGTTTTCTGTTTTACTTTGGCCTTTCTCACGGCCTTGAGCTCAGTCCGCTCAGCCGAGGCCTCCGCGGTGGCCGAGGCCGTGATAGCGAAGGTCGCGCCCTCCCACCCGGGACGTGTTCGCTGTCCCCTTGGCGCTTACCTCTGCTCCTGCGCTGGGCGGCCGCCTGGCCAGGGTTGTGGATCTGTCCCAGCAGGAGGTGAAGGGTTCGCTCGGACCCTCCGGCAGCCTGCACTGCACCCGTGGGGTGGGCGGGCGGCATCAGGCTCTCTGCAAGCCTAGACCCCAGGAGGAAGGCTGGCTAATGTTAATCGGGTCGGAGGTTCCCACCTGCTGGAGTATAGACGCTTGGCCCAGCCGTCCTCTCTCCACGATGTGAAGATCATGTCTCGTTCCACTTTTCTCATGTGAAGTCAGTGTCACCCCATGTGGTCTTTGGAGGAAAGGAATGCAGTGTGGCCAGGCAGGGGATCATGTCCAGGGGCACCTGCAGGCCTCTTTGGGTCTCACCTCCCCAGGTGCCTTTCCCACCTTGGCCCTGCCTGCCACTCGCTCCTCCTGGGTCCCCTACACCCCCGCCCCGGGGACGCAGCTCTTCATACTTCCCTTTGTTAGATCGGAATCCTCTGGGGATTTTGTAAGGAACCTGTCCGGGAAGCCAGGAGAAAATAAAAGAGAAAAATAAGCAAACTGCAAAAATACTAAAACAGGCGAGATGCGGGGGTGCAGATTTCTGAATTTTCAGTGACTGAATCCAGGCATTTTTCCCCGTTTTGTTTTGGTTGTCGTTGTATAGTTCGCTGCGAGCACAGCCACCCCGCCCCCATGCTGAAGGAGGGGTCCCTGATCCTGGGCGTGGCGTTTCTCCTCTGTAAGTCAGGGGTGGCTGTCCATCTGGGTCGTTGGGAGGATCGGATTAAATTATAGAAAGCTCAGGGGTTGGGCGCCTCGGCAGTGCCCCCCGGGGTGGGGGGGCTTCTCTTGCCCTTGGAGTTTCTGCAGAGCTGAGCACTGCCCTCACCTCTGGATGTGTGGGGTGCTCTTTGGGGCCGTGGCTTCGAGTCCTTGGTGCTCCCTCTGCGCCGCTCGACCTGCAGGCAGGTGGCAGAGCAGCCAGGGTAAAACTTGCAGGTGGTGTTTTGGACCCCCCATGACTGGCGTGAGTGGCCCCAGCACCTGCAAGTCCTCTCCTTGGCCTGTACCCCCTTTTCTAGGCCCTTCTGGCTTATTGGAAGGTCCTGTGAAAACGGAACATTTATGTCTGGCTCTGCCCTTTAATGACACGCAGCCTGTTTCCATCCAGTGGCCGTCATGCGTTCAACAAACGCAGCGCGACCGCCACATGCCAGGCACCGGGGCGCGACGATGAGTGCGTCCGTCGAGGTGCCGTAGACTGTTGGGGAAAATTGAGGCAAACATTGAATTTGATGAATGCTGTCATGGTAGCAAGAGCAGAGTGTTTGAGCTCAGTTCATTCTTTCCAGGTGGAAGTGGGGTTCAGAGAAAGGCTCCCAGGGGCGGCGGTGTAGGTCAGACCCTGCCGAGGAAATCAACCCCATGGTCCCAAGCATTCGTGGGCCTCACTCTACCCTTGCTCTTTGGAAACTGGGCAGACCATTAGCCCAAAGATCTTTTCTTTTTCTTCTGGAAACTTTGCCCTTCTCTGCAAGTCCTCTCCTCATTTGCAAATCAAATGAGAGAGCAAGTGGGGTGGGTGCCAAAAGAAGCCACGTTTTCCCTCTAATGCCGGTGTCTCTGGTTCATCCGCTGTGCATGGCCTGCGTGAGAAGCCCAGTCCTTATAAATCCCTGGGGCCTTCTTGGTGCAGGTGTCCATGCTGTCAGGATGTCAGAGGGAGGCTTCCTCCCCTGGAGAAGGGTTGGGAAAGAGCAGCGATCTGTGATCACTCTGACTCCTCAGGGAACAATGCAAAACAAATTTTAAAAATGGATGATGGCATGGGGCGCCTGGGTGTCTCAGTCGGTTAAGCGTCCAACTTCAGCTCAGGTCATGATCTCAGGGTTCGTGGGTTTGAGCCCCGCGTCGGGCTCTGTGCTGACAGCTCAGAGCCTGGAGCCTGTTTCAGATTCTGTGTTTCCCTCTCTCTCTGACCCTCTCCTGCTCATGCTGTCTCTCTTTCTCAGAAATAAATAAAACATTAAAAAAATAAAAGGATGACGGTAAAGAGAGTGCCTCCCCCTCCCCCTGCCCCCCATCCTGAATCAGTGAAACGCTACTAATAAAGACCATTGTCGGTACCTTCATAGTCCAAAAAGGAAGGCATTTATAAGTTTGAACGAAATTATTCATATGTGTAGTGAAAGTTCATTGTTATCGCTCAGAATGGACAGAGTTTGTCTGTTGGTCAGGGGCAACATTCCACTTTCACATTTGAAGATTTTATCTGTCTTGATTGACTTGGCGAAAGGAAAACGTTAGTTATTCAGAAGCAGAGGAGTGTAGGGAGGAGCACTTCCACTGACTGTTAACCGTTCTGTCAGACTCATGTTGGCCACAAATCTACGGTTGGATAGTCATACATATTTCATCTCTCTCTAATATACTGCCTACTGTTTGACACTCAGCTAAAGTCTTGCTTCCCCAGTAAGAGCACTGCAGGCTGGTTCAGCTTCTGTCTTTCTTTCCTCCAGCCCTGAGGCTCAAACTGATGACGAAGGTTGCTTGCCCTATCTTGTGGCCATCTTTTGTACTGTTGACTTTTTGTTATTATTTTAAGAGTTTATGGGGCTCCTGGGTGGCTCAGTTGGTTAAACGTCTGACTTTGGCTCAGGTCATGATCTCACGGTTCGTGGGTTCGAGCCCCATGTCCAGCTCTGTGCTGACAGCTAGCTCAGAGCCTGGAGCCTGTTTCAGATTCTGTGTCTCCATCTCTCTCTGACCTCCCCTGCTCATGCTGTCTCTCTCTGTCTCTCAGAAAAAAATGAAAACATTTTACCAAAAAAAAAAAAAAAAAAAAAGAGTTTATGGGGCACCTGGGTGGCTCAGTTGGTTAAGCATCTGATTTCGGCTCAGGTCACGATCTCACGGTTCGTGGGTTCAAGCCCCACATCTGGCTCTGTGCTGACAGCCAGCTCCGAGCCTGGAGCCTGTTTCAGATTCTGTGTCTCCCTCTCTCTCTGACCCTCCCCTGCTCATACTGTCTCTCTCTCTCAAAAATAAATAAAACATTAAAAAAATTTTAAATAAAGAGTTTACTTTTTGCCTCTATAAATGTAAGTTTCTAAAAAGCAGCAGCGATTTTAAATTTCTCTTTGATATAATATGCTATTTATGAATGAATATGGACTAGAATTGTACTCCTGGAGTAGGTATTAGAGATCATCTGGTCCGATGCCTTTATTTTATATTTAAGTGCGGCAGTCTTGAGGATGCAAGAACCAAGGAAGTTTACATCCTATTCAACTTTCTCTAGGAAGTTATTTGAGTAGATATTTCAGTAAAACCAGAGAGTAAACCAAGAGAGAAAATATGAGATCCAGGAAACAATGCATCCAATTCAGGGCAACCACGAAAATCCACCTGAGGATAAAATTGTTCAGCGGGCCTGAGAGCAGTCAGCCTTCTTTAGTGTAGGAGGATGAAGGCCCCAGAAAAGAGTTTTCTGAAGCTGATGTGAGAAGGGACATTCCATAGAGTTAAGAGTGTCATTGGGACTGCCGGAAATAAAACCTTTGTTAAAAAACAGAAAGCAATTAGTAACTGCAGTAAAGACAAAAAGCTGTGCAGAAGCATCGAGTTCCAAAAACGAAGCAACCTGTCCAATTAGATCAGGAAGTCAGCAAGCTTCAAAAAAGAATAAAAATATTCTGAACAATAAATGGAGTGAGAAAGAATTAGGAGGGGAATGGGGATACGGTGTAACACATGTTTCTCTACCAACAATAGCAAAAGAGACGTAATCAGCAACTTCAGAAAAACCAAACGTTTTTCATGAAAAGGCATAACTCAACTATGAAGCAAATCAAAATGTGGCCCAATCTTGAGCAGATGGTAGAATGTAAGAAGGCT